TTTGCAGGGCTGTGGGGTCAGAGCGGGTGAGTTGGATTAGTTGACAGCTCTTTCAAAGAGCTGGCATAGGCATAATAGGCCAAATGGCCTCTCTTTGTGCTGTAAGATTCTATGATTTCAGCATTGCTCTGATGTTTAATGCCAAAAAGCAGCATAAAATGTAGCACTGCAACCCGACTCTCTTCAGCTAACTCCACAGAGCCCAGGAGTCAAGCCCTACGCCCTTTGCTCTGCGTAGCTTAGTGTTACACCACGCGCTTTTAACCATTGGGTCTTGGAGGAACCGCTCACTTCTTGTTTAAACAAAAACAAATTGATTTTAACATGTTTCTTTCAAGTAAGAATTTTCAGACAAAAATTCAAAAAAAAAGATTTCCACTGACAAAGCACCACCAGAGCTATTTTCATTCTGCTCCAAGCATAAAGAGGTGGTCAATCAATTGGCTGACCAGAATCCCCTACTATTGTACAGGTAAAGTATGAGACACCCTTCAAGGTTAAAATAAAGCAGACCTGACTGAAGCTTTGCAGATTCCTTGTAGTAATGAATGAAGATTTCCTGGCACCAGTGTTGAAATGTCTACTATCTGGTTTCAAACATGATCCACACTGGAATTTTGCTCTAAGCTTTGGCTTGAGGCATTATTGGTCACTTTCTGAACCTTGAGTCTATCACTTTTGTGAGGTTGTTTCTCTATTAAGTGCTTATATGCAGTACCATATTCACCGAATGCAAGTACTGTAAATTCATTTTTTGGAAAGTTCACATTTTCTAACAAAAATATTGACTTGATTTGTGCCTAACCAGTCTTAGCAAATATTTCCACAATTTGAAATAAACAGGAATTCCTGAAGGATCAACATCAGTTGTAAAGATCTGTTTATCTAGAAGTATTCATAGTATGATTCAAAGGGAGATCATGCCAGAAGTGGAGCTTATTTCATAGATATCCCAGAAGAGGTCCAGACAGCTTAGTAATTTTCTAATCTTAGCTGCAGGTAAAGTGTTACTGGCTCTGACTGGATATAGCCAATATCCTTTGACTGTCCACTCTTGGATTACAACAGAGGGATGAGGAGGACATCAACAACAACTTGCATTTATATAGTGCCTCTCACGCAGTTTAGTGTCCCAGAGTGCTAAGGAATAGCAACTGAACTGCACTCTCAAACTAGCCAGAGTAGCCTCCGTGCCCCTCACCCAGGTCTATCCTGGGCCACTGTCAACAAGACATCGTGATTCTGAGGTATGTCACACCATTATCTTAGTACATACAACTGTGCCAATAGACACTGTGGACATTGCTGCAAATGTTCTGGAAAACAACATGTACAGCCCTACCAGTCTGTGAACTGTCATAACATTTTAAAATAAACTAAGGATTAATTGTCCCTTTTTGAAATAAGCAGTAATTCAAAGAACTTTCTCCAAACATTCTGAAGCACTGCAACCTGAAAAGGCTCACTTCTTTATACCTCTTTCTGATAGACAAGTTGCCTGCCCGCCTCCCCCCACCAGCAATGGTAAAGACATGTTATCTGGAGATTTGCTCTACATCCTTTACAATGTCTGGAGTTGAGCTTATAGTCCAGGCTGATGCTTCAGTGGAGGTCCTGGGGGAGAGTTGTATTATCATAGGTACCATCCTTTGGATGAGATGTTAAAACAAGATTCCATCTATCTGTTTTTAGGTGGATGTTAAAGACAAAATGACACAAGTCAAAGAGAAAATGCATTTCTCCCAGTGTTCTGGATAATGAACCTCCAGATAAATTAGTCTTTCACTTCATCGCTGTTTGTCAATATTGCTGAGCTCAAAATGGCTGCTGTGCTTCTTAACAAATACAGCTACTAAACCTGACAGCCATTTTGTGAAACACTATGATGTGTCAATTTTATAGACACTATAATTAAATTTGAGATCCACATGATCACAATAGATCATGTGAAACATAGAAACAGGAGAAGGCAATTCAGCCGCTCAAGCCTGTTTTGCTATTCTATAGGATCATGGCTGATCTGTACCTTGAGTCCAATTATCCACCTAGGCCTGTATCCCTCAATACCCTGACCTAACAAATATCGATCCACCTCAGTCTTGAAAATGTGAATGGATCCAGCATTCACAGCCTTTTGGGAGAGGGAGTTCTAGATTTCCAATAATCTGTGAAAAACTGCCTCCTGATTTCACTCCTGGATATTTCCATTCAGCCCATTTGATCTCATCCTTCCAGAATACCCACCCTACCATCACAGTGCCAGCCTTTATTTAAATAAATCCAATGTCCTGGCCTCAACTACACTTCCTGCTAATCTGTTCCATGCTTAGTTACTCTCCGGATAAGAAAATACTTCCTGGTGACTGTCCTGAAATTGCCCTTTGAAACCCTAAACCTGTGTCCTCTTGTTTTGCTGCCTCTATGCATCAAACAGTATTGTCTGGATTTACTTTCTCAATCCCATTTAAAATCTTTATATAAAGCCTTCTCAAAGACAAGTCCTTTCGAGACAGAACTTCCTTGCTTGTCTAATCACTGCTGATAGCTCATTCCTCTAACACTATGTTCATCATCTTTGTTGCTCTCTTCAACATTGCTTCTAGAATGAGAAGCTGCCTCTTACGTTGAGAAAGGATTAGTTGTAAGGTGAAAGGTCATGGTACAGAATCGTGGGCATTCACAATGCTGTGTTTGTGACTGTGAATATCAGCAGAAATACTGCTGCAAGTTAAGGGCATAAAAGTCAGCAAAGGGCTCAAAAGACAGCAGAGGGATTGATCAACCATAGCTCATGTGTGCACTAAGTCTCAGAAAGCTTCTAGAAGACTAACTGAGGCCTGCAGAACTCAATCTGTAACTGACGGGACTGAGTAATCCTGTCACTCTTCCAAACAAGCAAATGCCCACAGTTAGAAAGCACCACAACCACAAAGAGTTTTTTTTTAAAAAAATCTGTAACTTTTACAGTTACCTTTTATAACTGTAAAAGTTAGTTTTAAAAAACACATAACTTTTGCTATGGTTACAGCAGTTTTAAAACCGCTGCAACTATAACAAAAGCAATAACATTCACAATGCTTAGGAGAGGTGGATCAGAGTGAATACTGCAGTGACTGACAGTCTTATAGTGCACTATATACACATATAGATATATATATTTATTCCATTGTTTGTATTTTGGAATCCAACTGCTTGATCGACATGTGCTGTACAATTATCACGTTTGCTCCATAAGAAGGAAATGTCACAAGAATAATGGTGGGCTTGAATGGGAGTCATGCTCCTCCACTTTCAAGCGCTCTGGGAAGCAACTCTGCATGAGGGGTGCTATGTAAATGCAAGTGGTTGCTGTTGAGTGTGTGTGTGTTTGGTGGGGGGAGGCGGAGTGGGTCAAATTGTGCCACCTTTCACCAAACCAGATGAAGAAGATGTATGTGTGCAGGGCGGCGGGGCTGGTTATGAAATAGAAACGCCTTACAATATCCAGAAATGATGTCACTCTGACCCAGGAGTTGTCTGCTCGATGTGATCTACTTTGGGAACAGGCTTCCTGTGGGTGGGCAGGAATGCTAACGGGTTAGGAATGCCTTTAAGAAACACCGCAAATCAGCCCCCGAATGAAGCATTTCCACATTCCAGGTGGAAACACAATAATTAGGAGAAAAAAAAGCATTGAGTAAATAAACTGATTTCATTCACAGTAAAGATTCAGTGCAATATTTCAGAGCGCAGGTCTATTTTTGCCACATACATTTCCATCACACCTCTGATGGTCCAGGTCAGGAAAGAGACTGAAGTCCTAAAAACTTTTGTATGTGTGTGTAACGGAAGAATCACGAATAGGCACCTCTGTGTTTTAGAGTGAGTTCTAAGGACTTTCACTTAAAACTGATCCCCATCAGTAAATATATTCCTTCCTCCCAACGTTTTAACCCCGAAATTTCCGCCTTCTGCTGTAAAGACGAGTTGGGTGGCGATGAAGCTCTGGGTGTATTTTTTTTTTGGTGTATTTGAGCAGCAAAACTCAGTGCATTCCTGTCCCTTTGCACACAGAGCCACGCTCCACTGCCCACAGCAGAGATGCCTCGGTGCAAGTGTGTAACCTGAGGTCTCTGGAAGGACACTTGTAAAGGGTTCAGTGAAAAGCTATGAACTAAGGGTGACATTCCTCTGGGCCGTTACAGCTTATTGACTGACGAGATGCACTTACAATTGGGAAATCCCATTACAATGCAAAGCCCCACAGTTGCGGACTCACGCGATCTGTTCAAACCAGTTGAGTGCATTGAACTGCAGTGAGAAACTCCTCCCTCGGTAAGTAAGTAAGTAACTGTCCTGAGGAAACCAGACATCAATCTCTCTCTCTCTCCCTCTCCCTCTCTCCAATCGGAGCTTTTTAATGGGGAATGATTTCCTTCTGGTCGCTATGCCTGCACACAGTAAATAGACAAAAACAGTCCACCTCTGACTGTAAATGTTTCCATTTTCTCATCCCACCACAATCACTTCCATACTCATGGGTTGGCTCTCTCTCTCTCCTCTCTCTCTCTCTCTCCTTCTCTCTCTCTCTCTCTCTCCTTCCTCCTTCCTCCCTCCCTCTCTCCCTCTCTCGTCTTTCCACTCCACTCTGGACTAAAACAGGTGACTTGGACGCATTAAAGCCCCATCGAGACTTTCCCCAACAAACGCAACTGACTTGCTTTCTCCTCTGCAAAAGCAATGGCAGGAACAGACACACACACACACACACAAAAAAAAACTGATGCAAATCCCCCTCCCTCCCCCCCCCCCCCAAAAAAAAAATAAGTAAGTAAACCAAATTAATATCCTTTTAACACTTGATTTGCATTGGGATGGAGGTGGGTGGGTGGTGGGGGGGGGGGGGGGGTGCAGGAGACTTGTGGCTGTGGGTTAGCAGTGTGTTTGCTGACTGGGGCAGAGGGGAGAGGGGGGGAGAGGGGGAGAGGGGGGGAGAGGAGACCTCGGGAGCTTGTCCCTACCTTCCATGAGCCGAGCGCTGGATGTGGGTCGGCAGCAACTCCAGGTCCACAGCAGCAACAGCAGCAGCATCCGAGCGATCGGCCGACAGCAGCATCCGCGCCTGTTACACACACACACACACACACAACACACACACACACACACACACACACAACACACACAGAGAGAACATGTTACACAGAGCAACACGGCCAGAGGGGAGACCAGACAAGACAGTGACCAATATACTGCACATCACCCACCAAATGCACACAAGGAATCGCAACGGGTGTGTGTCGGTGCCCTCTCACCTGTGATCCATGTCCAGCGCTGAGAAGGCAGAGAGAGCGGAGTCAGTGCGGGTACATCGGTGGGGGAGTCCGGGACAGGACCGCTATCGCCGCCACTCACTCACTCACTCACTCACACACACAGAGAGAGAGAGAGAGAGAGAGAAAGAGAGTGAAGTCCTGACAAAGGCTCAGGTTTCTGACGCTACGTGTTACTGTGTAATCTGAGCCCAGGCTCTGGCCAAGAGGACCCAGACAGACAGACACACAGACAGACAGACAGACCCAGACAGACAGACAGACCCAGACAGACAGAGAGAGAGAGAGAGAGAGTGGAGATCGCCGATGAACGGGAGGAGCACAGACATGGACACAAGGCAGAGCTCTCTGACTGCCAGAACCCTGTCCGCACCTCCTGCCCAAACCCCTCCTCCTCCCCCCACTCGGCATCACCAGGACCACCGCCCGCGTCCCCGCACCGAGTCCGGCATTCAGTACCCGGGCATCAGCACCACAGCAACTGCAGTGGGTCCTTCCTCCAAACAGCCATCGGCAGTCAGTGAGACCAAACCGAGGAACAAACCACCAAAGAACCAGGGACCAGCAAACCAGACCTACACCACCACCCCCCACACACCCACACACACACACACACACACACACAACCCACACACACACACACACACCCACACACACACACACACACCCACACACACACAACCCACACACACACACACACCCACACACACACCCACACACACACACACACACAACCCACACACACACACACACCCACACCACACCACAACCCCACACACACACCCCACACACACACACACACACACACACACACACACAACCCACACACACACAACCCCCACACACACAACCCACACACACACACACACACACCCACACACACACACACACAACCCACACACACACACACACACACACACACAACCACACACACACAACCCACACACACAACCACACACAACACACACACACAACCACACACACACACACACAACCCACACACACACCACACACACACACACACCCACACACACACACACACACACAACCCACACACCCACACACACAAACACACACACCCACACACACACACAACCACACACACACCCCCCCCACACACACACACACACAAACCCACACACACACCCACACACACACACACACACAACCCACACACACACACACCCACACACACACACACACAACCCACACACACACACACACACACAACCCACACACACACACAACCCACACACACACACACACACAACCCACCCACCACCCACACACACACAACCACACACACACACCCACCCACACACACACAACCCACACACCACACACAACCCACACACACACACACACACACACACACAACCCACACACACACACACAACCACACACACACACACCACACACACACACAACCCACACACACACACACACAACCCACACACACACACACAACCCACACACACACACACACAACCCCCCCCACCCCCCACACACACAACCACACACACACACACACACAACCCACAGATACACACACACAACCCACACACACAACCCCACACACACACACCCCACACACACACACAACCCACACACACACACACAACCCACACACACACAACCCAGGCGTTCAGCCCAATGTGTCATCTTAGCTGAGTTGACACAGCAGTAGAGCAACAACAACAACAACAACAAGATTGCATTTATAGAGCGCCTTTCACGTCGGGAGGACGTCCCAAGGCGCTGGACAGTTGGGTCGGGACCCGAGCATTGGGGGGACATGGTCAGGGTGAGGGGAGGGAGGGAGCGAGGAAATGGTCGGGAGGGGAGGGAGGGAGCGAGGAGGGGGGAAATGGTCAGGAGGGGAGGGAGGGAGCGACGAGGGGGGAAATGGTCAGGGTGAGGGGGGGGAAAGGGATGGAGCGAGGAGGGGGTAGAGAGTCAAGAGGGGAGCTGAAGGCACAGTCGAAGAGAAAGGTCTCGAGACCGGCCTTGAAGGAGGAAAGGGAGGAGGCGGCGAAGGCACTGGGGGATAGAGTGGAGTTCCAGAGCCGAGGTGCTGAGAGGCTGAAAGCCCGGCCACCGATGGGAGGGCGGTTGGGGCGGGGGATGTGGAGCAGACCGGAGCCAGAGGAACGGAGGGTACGGGCAGGTAGGTAGGGGGATAGTAGGTCGGAGAGCACTCTCTTTTCTCAACCAGAAAGTTGTGGGTACAAGCCCATCATTAATCCCCCAAATAAAATTGATCACTCAGTCCAAGGCTGTTTTTCGAACATGTTGCTGTGCACACCCGGCTTCCGCATTTCACCCACGAGATACACGGTTAATCCACTTTATAGTAAATAGCCTATGAAGCGCTTCGAGATGGCTTAATGACGCGATAAGGCGCTATATCAAGTGCAAGGATTATTGTTACAGTAAAACTCACATTAATTGTATCAGTCGGGTTCATAACATTTACTATGATTTACACAAAGTCTGAGTTGCAGGCAAACTGTATAAATCGTAGAAAATTCAATTTAATCAATAATCTACGCTGTGCGTGTGTACTTTTACGCAGCCGGTAAGTGCGCAAGTGGTGACTGGTCAAGATTACATTTCCTGCAATTCAATGTGTCTTGACCCGTCACTGCATGAGCACGTACTGGCAAGCGTTAGAATCACATTGAATTGCGGGAAATGAAGTTCTTCTGCGCACGGTTCGAAGGATTAAAACTAAGTTTCCCGCAATTCAATATCCCTCGTCCACACCTTTGTCACTTCCCGACTGGACTATTCCAACGCCTGCCTTGCTGGTTTCTCCAGCTTCACAATACACAAAATACAACTAATTCAGAACTCCGCCGACCAGATTCCCACCTGCACAAAACTCCGTACCCCCATCACACCAGTCCTTGCCAGACTCCACTGGCTCTCAATTACTGAACGGATCGATTTCAAGATCCTCTCATTCATTTTCAAATCCCCTCAGACCTTTGCATATCCCTATCTATCCAATTTGCTTACCCCTCCACTTCCCCTCCTCTTGGCTAGCTCCAGCCTCCTGTTCATCTCTCTTCCACTCCACTCTACCATCGGTGGGTGTGACTTCAACCACTATGCCCCAAAACTCTGGAACTCTCTTCCTCAATCCCTCCATCTTGCCCCACAGCTCCCCATTTTCAAATTCTGCATAAAGACCTTCCTTTTGATAGTGCTTATGGTCACCTCCCCCCTCCCTATGAGTTAAAAAGTGATTAACACAAATAGTGCAAAGAAATCTTTAAGAGTTTTGATAGGAAACTGAATGGGACTTGGGTGAATGCACAACCTAGGCGATTATACGATTTATTGAGATAAGAGTTATACGAGTTTTACGTATTATTACTGTTATTAATTCTTGCATTTGATATAGTGCTTAATCAAGTCACCAAAATATTTCAAACAGGACAGCTAGTTGTGTACAACAATTTCCCACAAACAGTTAGGACGTGAATGGCCTATTTTATTTAGTGGATTGTTGGTCAGTGCACCGGGAGAAACTCCCTTCTCTTTTGGAACAGTGCCATGGGACTGAACAGGCACCTACAGCACCTCAATTTAAACATCTCATCCAGAGGATGCAAGTTGGCTACTAATGGGATTTCCCAATATAATGATGCATTGGCATGGTACGGTGCATAATGCTCAACAGAAGTTCCCTGGAAATAAAAAAAAGATTCAGGGTTATTAGATAAAGAGTATATTTCGCCCACAAATATACAGGCAATTCACTTTACAGTATACTCTGCAAAGCACTTTGAGACATTGCGAAGACGTGAAAAGCGCTACATCAAATGCAAGGATTATTATTATTAGGTTCACCTCGTGATGGCTTAAACCTGTGCTTGTTGGATATCGAAAGACCAACTAGTGACTATCCTCCTGGGAGAGGTGGGGAGGAGAGGTAAGCAGGGTCTCCTTGGAGCTGAACTGGCTCCAAGGTGGCAACGAAATGTCAGAGTCAAACCAACCCCCTATGGCGGTCTTGGTAGTCAGGTTTCTGAGCCAGGCAGATCCGTATTATTCCAGTGCACTGCTGACAACAGCACAGTCAACCTGGCTCATCAGCAGGACCGGGAAAGGCAGACCAGTCACTGGGGGTCAGGAATCACCCCACTCAGTTCCTAACATCTAACAGCTCACAACTGGTATCATCTAATATCTAACAGCTCACAACTGGTATCAACAAGCGAATGAATAGCAACCAGAACAAAAACAACCAGCAAACAGCTGGTAACCAGAAAATGCTAAAATACCAGCTGCATCATACAGCAAAATGCATCAATTAACATTAAAACTAAACTATTAAAACAACCACTAAATAAATAGCAACAAAGGCAGCCGCAACATACTTCAGTAATAGCAAACGGATCCAGTAACAAGATTTGCCATCTCAAGACTCATGTATTGCCAGCACTGAAACAACCAATTAAACTCCCAGTGGACTAAATAGCAATTCCTGCTGCTTATCGAAATTAGTCATGTAAAAGCAATTTAATTCAACCAAGAATGTTCGATAGAGGCAGCCTCGGTGGTGTTGGAGGTGCAGATCAGGATCAGCAGGATTTTTGGCTGGAATCTCAGTCCATGCTTTGGAGTTCACTGGTCTGTGTTGAAACCCCATAGGGAATTTACGTTAGTCCCAGCCTTCCCAGAGGTAGGGAGTGGAAAATAGCTAGGCTTCCGGCTCCTGGTCCTGCTCTAGTACCGTCAACTGGCAGCTGGGTAAGGAGAGGTCTTTGGCTGTGACACCCTCAACAGTCGAGTAGCCTACTGACATCGTCAAGGGTCACGTGCAATGTCTACTTGGGAAGGGTATCAGAGGGCAACTAGCACCCACGAAACCTCACATGCAGAACGAGTGTGGGAACCACAAATGGAGGGCTATGCCAATGGGGAGCAATTTAGCAAATAATTGAACAAGTTATATTTTTAAAAATGCTCAATGTAAAACATTTCTTTGCTCAGCTGACTATAATAATAATACATGCGTTTCATATAGCACCTTGTCATGTCGTTGAGATGTCTCAAAGCACTTCATAGGATATACTGTAAAGTTGACTGACTATATTTTATGGGCGAAATGCAGCAGCCAGATTATATGACACATGCAGAAACTCATCACCGTGCTTTACGTGTATCAAACCACACCGAGAGTTCTACATATGTACGCAATCTTCGCAAGGAGATTTCACTGTGTCTGAAATGGAATGTACACCT